CTAGAATCTTTTAAAAAAAGATTTCTTAAGAATTAGTTTTAAAATTAAGAAAAAATTATTTTTAACTATTTTGCTTGTCTTATCTAACCAGCGTATGTACTGCGTCAAGTAGTTTCTAATATATAACATCTAATATTATAAAAATAGTTAATTTTATAGATTTTATCTTACTAATACAGCTGTCATATATACTAAGATTTTGAAAAATAAATATTATTAGAAATACTAGAATTCGTGGAAATTAGATAGACCGAAAATTCGGACTATTTATTATATTAACTATAGTAAGAAGTCCAGATTTAGTTTTAGATTAATTTATTTTTATTTTTCTATTATACTTTCTATTATATTATTTATTACGATTTTTATATTTATTATTATATTTAGTAGTCTTATTTTACTACTAAAATCTTTAATATCTAAGATATTCAAAGATATTAAAAATATATATTCTTTTAAATTTAGAAATATTATTATATAGATTAGGATTAGGATATCTTTATATTATATATAGCTAATTAAATGTATTAATAATTTAAGCAGTTTAAGTATAAAATAATATTTTTTATATATAAATAAATATTAACCGGTATAAATATTAGTATATATAAAAAATATATAATTTGAATATCTAACTACTTTATAAATATTTAAATAAAAGTATTATATAAGTTTTTAAATATTTAAATAAGATATTTCTTTTTATTAGTAACTTTAAACTAATATTATTATAGAATAAAAGAACTAACTAGATATATCTGAATATTTATTTTCATTATATTTTTATTTTTATAGTTAATAATCTTATAAATATAATTATTAAATAGTTATATATTTTAGTAATATATTTTTAATTTTTTTATAATAACCGCTATTAGGTTATTAGATAAGTAATTAGTCTAGAAATAGCTAATCTTATTAGTTTTTTACTAGGAAAAAAATATTCAGAAATATTAGCAGACAAATTATAACTATTTTTATTATTTTTAAATTAAAAATAGGAAGATTTTATATATTAGTATATTAATTATAATAATTTGTACAATTTTTATAGTTACTGATATAATTATTACAATAATTATTTAAAAAAAGAAAAATTATTATTATTATTATTATTACTTAAACTAGGATTACTTAGATTATTATTAAATCAACAGAAACAATATTTATTTAAATATTTATTAGAATATCTATTATTTTTAACATCTTAATATACTAAATATCTCTTATTTTTAATATTTTAATATTTAGGACGTCTATCGTCGACTTTTTAATATTTAGTATTTTATAATAGCTACAGATTAATACTAAAGTATTCTTTAATATCTTTAATTATATTTCTATTATCTAGATATTTATTCATATTAGTAAAATAATTATCAATATTCTTTATTAGAAAATATATATATGATTATATATTAATTATTAAAGCTTACGGTTTGTTTTAAAACATTTAATTTAGTATATTTAAAAAAGATAAATTAATAAAAGAATAAATAAATAATAGTTAATATTTACCATAGTAGGATTTACTATAAATAATATATTATAAGATCTAGTATTAAATAAATTACCAATATATTAAAAAAACGAGTTTTTTTATAGACCGGTAAAAGACGAACTATTTTTATTTTTATTCTTAATAACATCTAGTTTTTTAAAAACAGGCTGCTTGTTATTTCCTATTTAGTATATCTGAGTTTATATCTAACAAACGGAAGTAACTAGTATACTTAGAAGTATAGCAATTAGATCTGGAAAGTCAAACTATTTTAAAACAAGCTATATAAAAATATTTATTTGGAAGTATCGACAGTTTATTTAAGTATACCGGCAGATAGTAAACTTAATACTAATACTAATTAAAAGTATAAGATAAAGATACAACTAATTAAATTAGTTATTATATACATATTATAAATTCTTAAATATTTCTTAATAAAAGTAAGATAGATAGGGTATTTAAACAGACTAACAGTTAAACAATAGAATTCAGCGACTTTTTTTATATAGTTTTAGACAATTAAGATCCCAGGCGAAAGAATATTAAAAAATAATTTATTAAAAGTGATTCGGTATACAGCTGCATGTTTCTGAATATAAAAAAGAATATTATTAATAATCTGATAAACTTAGAATATCTACAAGTTCTAGATTTAATATATAAGCTTAGCAAGGTGTTTTTATTTTTCTTTTAAATACTTATATTTTGTTAATATTAATATAAAAATATTTAGAAAAAATAAAGAATAAAGAATAGAAATAGTTAAAGATACCGAGTCGGAGATATACAAGGATAAAAGATCTAATATTAAATAAAAGAACAGACTGTCTGGTTATTAGATCTAAAAAATACTGATATAATAATTAACTAATATAAAAAAGTACAAATAATAGAAAAATAAAAACAGAATAAAGACAGAATAAAAATATATATAAAAAATAAACAGATAAATAATCTCTATAAGATAGGATTAGAATTAGAAATATTAGAGATAACAATAAATTAATAGGGGCCCGGTAGACACACAGAGTAAAAGAAAAATATAAAGAATAAAGAAGTTATGCTCGAGAGGTAGAATCAGCTGAAACTGGATAAAAATATTGAAACAGACTTTCTATATATCAATAAGAAAGGTACTGTTAATAATACTTTTATAAGCAGAAATATAATTAACAAAAACAAGAATAAATAGATATATTACTGGCGGAAAAAAAGAGACAACCAAAGACTTCCTAGAAACCTAAAAATTAATAGAATTAAGACTATTTATAAGATATAAAACAGAAGATATATAGACACAGTATTAGAAAGTAAGAAGTAAAGATTTATAAATATACAAAAGAATTAAGTATCAGAGATAAAGGCAGGATATGCTATTATAAATATATTATTTAATATATAAAAGATAGATGTTTTTAGAAAAAAGTCTATAAGGACCGGAATAGCTATAAATAGAATATAGTAGACTGTAAAAACCAATAACGCAGAATCGCCAAAGGTAATATACAGCAGGCACACAGGTGACGGCCACAATTGTAATAATTCTAATTTTTTAATAAATTGATAGACCAACAGTTATATAATATATTTTTTTTAATTTTATAATTATTGGTTATCATTTTAAGTAAAAGATAAATAAAATTAAATAATTTTTTTTTATATAAGAAATTATTTATAAGATGGTATTATTTTTAAAGGAGAGGCAACCAACCACCGCAGCAACAAATATACTGTTATGTATGTTACCCAGGACTGAGCATCAGATGCCATTCAGTTAATACTCTCAAGGGGCGTTTTTGTTATCTTCTGCAGATGGCGAGGACAGATATGGATCATGAGACCAGGAGGTTCTGTTTCCCATGAGTTGGCCAGAAAAGGCCCTCGACTTGTTCCATTATACTCGACTATTACCTTACTATTCTTGGTCTTAATTTAGCTCATGAGCACATGAATGTAAAAACTCCAGCTTGTCTAAATGCTTGTTTACCTGCTGCGTGTAATTAGTATGAGTCTCCCTTCTCTCTCTGTCAAGTAGGGGTGCCCTTCGGCTCGTTTTGTATAGTACAGTATCCAAAGCGGCTACTAGCCAAAATATACCGGGCAAGATGCATACCCCCATGCATGGGGTATGTAGGTTGCCAGGTCGCCAGGTGGCATATTTTTGGCTTTGATTACCAGTTCTTTCTAGTAAGAAATCTGATAATTTCCAAGAAAGCCTGTGTTAGATCATATATTATAAATAATATAATCTTATCAGATAATAAATCTAATAAGATCTATAATTTATTTAAAACTATACTAAGAATTCTTAATATTACTAATCACTACTAATAAATATCTATATAATTGGTCAGCTTAGATATAGAATATATTATATATTACTTCTAGGTATCCGCCACTCTAATATCCTATTATCAAAAGATATTAGAAGATGCCAGTAAAATATAGAAAAATCTATATAAGAATATATATAAAAATATATAAGAATATATATAAAAATATATAAAAATATATATAAAAATATATAAAAATATATACATAATTATGATTTCTGATTTTTTCTAATCTTTATTATTTCTGATTATTTTTGATGGATTTTTATATAATCTATGCATAAACTCTTATATAATTTTTAGTTATGTCTATTATCTCTAATAATTCCTATCATCTCTAGTAATTTAAGTATTTTTAGTAATTTATTTTTATAGTAATATTTAGTATATTTTATCTCTGAGCTCGCCAGGTGGGTGGCTTCTAGAAATTATTAATTATTACTAGTAATACTATGATTTTTTAAATATAAATTTTAGTAATATGGGGATCTTACCCCTGGCAAGATTATATTATTTATAGTATATTTTAAAATAGAGGCTTTTTCTAGATAATTCTAGTAATTACCAGTAATTTACTGGGCTTTTCAAGCCACCTGGCCACCTGGCGACGTGCGACCCTCCGCGCATGGATTTTGATGCCATACGAGGCGTAGACTTGAAAAATGAAACCACGCTACTCACGGCATAGCGAACATCTAATCAAAAGGTACAGAAGAAAGAATCCATAGTCAGCAGAAATCGATGTCGAACGCTGCTGGACGCCGTCTTAGGCTTATTTTTTGCTACTTGGTGACGATATCACGACTGACAGCGGATGGAGATACTCGCAATCGCTAGCCCAGATTCAGGTGGTATTAGATGGGAGAGCTATAAAACACCGACTCTGTCGGGGGGGAAGGAAGGAACACAAGCTCATTGTTATCCTGGCGCTATCAATTCCCTCCATGCACTTTACCAGTGGTCGGAATACCAGATAACAGCATTAGAATCTATATCTGCTGCATGACTGTGTGCCCCTGAAATCGGGCTTTCTGTAGTAGATAGACCTTTGAGTAATTTAGCCCACTGATAGACAAATGACCTCGCGCGTTGCAGTAGATGCCTTTCCTCAAAATTTGCCTGGAATGACCTCGATTCATCGAGTCTGTTCCGGTAATCGTAAGCTAGTCTCTGGCCGCAGTGAAACTTAGCTGTCGAGCCGCATTCTTGAATGTTGAATCTTCGATTTCCCCCCCTCGCCTGGTCAGGTCTGCGCCCATTTTCTTCACGCCATCGATCTTGCGAGGAAGGTTTTTCTTGTCGGTTGGTGTAGGCTCAGTAGTCCACCAGCCATGTTGCAAAACCCTACAAGCTGTGCTTCGTTTCTTAGGATCCAGGGTGCACATAGACATCAGCAAATCTGCGCCGACAGGACCAGCTGTCGGAAATTGCCTGAGGAAAAAATCTCGGCCCTGAAGAGGAACGACATGGTGGGGATCAGCAGGCAGATAATTAGGTAGTTTGGTTACACCGGGCCAATTGTCCTCATTCGGGGTCCCGAAAGCTTCACATATCTTCGTAATTTGATCGAGATCGGTATTTCCTGCAACGAACGGAACTCGCAGGAGGAGTTCCGCGAAAACCATGCCCATGGACCAGATATCGACAACCCCCGAGTACTGCCGGGCACCAAAGAGCAGCTCTGGGGGACGATACCAGCGTGTAATGACCTGATGGGTCATATTCAAGTAGGGATCAGCAAACGACCTAGCTAAACCAAAGTCCGCGAGTTTCACTTCCCCATCTGCCGCAATGAGGAGGTTATTAGGCTTGATATCCCGATGCAATATGAAATTCTCGTGACAGAACCAGACCCCTCTGGCGAGCATTCCCATCCAAGCCTTAATATCAGCAACGCCATAGTGAATATTTGTATCCTTAATCAGCATCTCGAGATCGCCCCGCGGTAGATATTCGAGAACTAGATTGAGATTTTGATCCTTTGATGAGAAGACATCGTGAAGCGCTATTATGTTGGGATGTGAAAGCTCTTGCAGGTATTTTACTTCTCGAATGGCGTCCATGGAAAGTCCATCTTTATATTCTGCATTGATCTTTATTTTTTTGATGGCGACGAACGAGGACGGATCTGTTCGAAGGTGACCGAGGAAAACAACAGCATAGGTACCTTCACCGAGCCTTTTATCTATGAAACAACCATGCTCATCATTAACCGCCAAGTACAGCGACAAGGTAGTAATGCAAGCAACAAGGGAGGATGCATAGAACCATTCAAGAGAATGAGGTACAAAATCATACCTTTAATATACTTGTGTCTTACATCATCGTTCAATTGCTCGGTAATCTCACGCTCGTTGGTAACATGAGAGGAATATTTCATATTGTGCTTGTATGGTGAGCGTTCAGAGCCATTTACCTCTGACTCTCTTGTCGCATCAGTGGTTTTGGCTGCATGCGAAGCAGGGTTCGGGATCAAAGGAGAAACAGCCATTGTTACTACAATGTAGCAACGTCCGATTGTCTCTAAGAAAGAATTAGTCGAACATCCCACCAAAGTCTAGATTGTTGTGAAGATTGACTAGATAGATAACTGGACACAAGTCAAGGGATTTTATGTTCTCGAATGACAGTGGACCTGGCATCTCGAGCTAGATCTCCAGGAAGGCAGTTTCGGAGTTATGTTGATCCTGGCTGGAACTGACGCCGCCAAAATTTCTCCTCATTATCCCCGACCCGGAGAAGAGAACCAACTGCCAAGCAAGTCTTCAGAAAGGACTAGAGTTTCAACAAAACACCTTGATCTCTCAGCTCAGTTATATTTTCAGATTATTGCCTATCATTACTATTCTCAAGTTTACGACATAATATCCTGACCGGACTGAGTGATCGGCCCAGCTACAATGGCGATGCACAGTCCATATCTTTTCTCCTTGCGAGCAATGCGACCTATTACCATCGGAAAGCAATGCTTCCGGCACCTTCACAAACAAGTGCCTTCTGTTGCAATACCATCGCCAACACCATTTGTCCCAGACGTCCAGACTTTCCTTACACTAATTGGCCGTGGCATGAATAAACACACCAGCAAGCTGCCATCTTGGGACAAACTGTTTTCCATTAGTTCACAAGAGCTTAAAGAGTTGGGTATTGAACCCGCAAGCCAGCGGCGGTATTTGCTCCGCAAAAGGGAGAAATTTAGACGAGGAATTTTCGGTCCCGGTGGTGACTTGCAGCACGTTGTCAATGGTACAGCACAATTGCGGGTGGTTGAAGTCCCGAAGGAGCCAAAGGATGTCGCCGAAAGCCACACATCCGCAAGACTCTCAGATTATGCAGCCAATTCCTCTCCAGGCATGAGGAAGATTGTTGTCAACCTGCCACCAGATGCCAAAGAATATATCCACAACCAATTTCAGCCACCGAAAAAGATCGCATATATGAAAGTTCACCACGGCAACACTATAAGGGGCCCTTTCCTACAGCCGATCAAGGGCACCAAAGGCAGCGCAGCTTTATTCGAGTTGAAGGAAGGTATGTGGGAGGATCGACTTGGAGTCAAGGTGGATGGTGGTGAAAGAAGGCGTGCGGAAGTCAGAGCGAAACGGAGGAGCGAAGAGAGGCGGAAAGGGACTATCTAAAAACCCAGAAATTCTTGAATAAGTCCACATCAGCTTGTGGTACACCTGTTCCTCCTGTTTTTCTACAACCCTGCGCCGAAGTTTGCTGCATGTACTATAGGCATTCATGTTATACTGCTATTGCACTATTTTTATAAATCATACTCGTGCTATCTTGTACACGATGGACTGAATAGAAAAACCAATGCTTTGGCCCAAGTAGTCAATACGTTTGAAGGTGTTTCTGACTCGTAGGATATGTATATTAGCTTCCTAGCCGCAGTTAACAGCGGGCCCGGTGATTGTTTCTTATTTCATGATAAATAACTAATGAATATTAGACAGAGTCTTCTATTAGTTCTGCATAATTATTAATAAGGTAATAAGAAATTACATCTACTATTATCCGCTATCATTTGTTTTGAGGCATAAGAGTAGCAGTAATATCAATTCTTCGCAGGAGCACGCTTTTCGAAATGTATAAACGATTTTCCAGCGGGTTTCGAGAAAAGTGACTAGGCCCAGTAAGTAAAATAGAAAGTATATGTCCGGGTATAAGAAGACTTACTGAATAGTCTGTTTCAGGGATACTCTTTACATTGGGCAAATTGCGGAACTTGAACAACCTTACCAAAGCCGCTGTTATGGCACCAAGTTGTACATAGGCAAATTGTTCACCAATACACCTGTGCCTTCCAGCGCCAAATGGAAGGTAAGGACTGTTTGTGCCCTTGCTAACAAGACCATACCCATAGTCAATTTTCTCTTCATCTTCTGCATTAGACGCAAGGTCCTCATCCCAGCGGTGAGGATCCCACTTTAGCGGGTTGACGAAATACTCCTCAGACCTTGCCGTCACACCAGGTGATGAGAGAACATTATGGGATGTAGGAATCACGTATGGTGTTCCGTCCACAGGCATCGGGTTCTTCACCGCACGTATGATTGAATGGATAGGCGCATGTATACGTAATGTTTCCTTGATAACCTTCGCATGAAGATCCAACTTCTGCAGGCCTTCGTATGTAAGAGGCGGCAAATCAGGGCCGAGGACACGGAGTTGTTCAGCAAAGAGCTCATCCATGATTCCCGGATGTGCTGCAAGGTGTAGGACAATCCAGGAAGCCGTAGAAGCTGACGAATGCTGACCAGCCATGAGAAGAGCAATCATCATGTGCGCGACTTCCTCATCGGGAACCTGAGTGCCATCTTTATATACGCAAGACATCAGGTTCCATACCATGTCTTCGGAGTCTTTCTCAGTTCCAGCATTGCGACGGGCCTTGATGATTTCCATGTATGTTTCTGTCATTTTCCGCTGTGCGGCATCGCGTTTCCGGTTATGGGGAAGAGGAGCCCAGGGTAACATGAAATTGATTGGCGCAAATCCCATGTCGAGGTCATGATATAGCTCAGCAAAGGTGGAATCAAATCTACTTCGAACTTCCTTGCCTTGAAGAGAGCGTGAGGCTGTATAGATGGTGATTTCAGCAACTATTTTGCACACGTCAAAGACACCGCTAGCACCCTGGAAAGCCGGGGAATTCTGGACAAAATCCTCCACTTCATCGGTTATCAGACGCACATAGGAGCGTAAGGCGTCGGAGGTGAGGCCGAATTTGACGAACTATTTTCCGTATTGTCAGCGGCAGAACAGTCTTCATCTGGATGTGTCTGATTACCTTCTTCTGCTCCATTAATTTGGCATTTGGGCAGTCATACACAACATTGCTCCCAAAGACAGGTGTAGTAAGGGGCGAATAAACCTCTTCGGCACAAACATCCCTTAACTTGCCATTGAGAATGAAGTCATTACCCTTAGTCCCAAGGTAGACAGTCGTCTTTTTGCCAAGAAGAACAAAAGTGAATATGTCACCATACTGATGGCGAGTTAGCAGATGAACTACCCAGAAGACCAAGACCTATGAAAATACCTTCTCACGGCACTTGAAGAAAAATTTGTATGGATCCATGCCATAGCTGATTGTACTGCCAATAAAGGGCACCCAATGAAACACTACAGGTGGTTCTTTCGGATTCTTGAAAAGCAGTTGGCCCAAGAGATTGAGCAGGATAGATACAGCAAGTAGGGCTAGCAGTGTTGTTCCCAAGATGACCAGGCTCGAAGACTCTGTGCAATGTTTGCATATAGTATCGAGTAAGACCGCGAGAAAGCCCATGGCTGCGTCGTGCTAGCAGTTGTGAGACAGAACCAGGGGCCGGATGATTGTGCAGTGTGTCAGATAAGGAGGCCCCTACGACCGGAGATAGTAGAAGATTAGTCAGAGCTCTTCCTCGGTAGAAGTAGTGAAGGTGATCCTGAGCAATGTCAAGGTGAGGATTGAGCGAAGAGAAGCGTGTAGGGTGATTGTGGCTGAGAGAAAAGTAGCCCTGACTTGAGCACGGATTCTGCCACTGTACAGGGATCTGCTGTGTATTGATTGGGTATGGTATTAGCCACTAACTTACTTACTTAGCACTACCTTACTAAGGGGAAATAAGTTAAGAAACGCGCTAAAGACACCTCGTGAGATTCCAAAGCCACCGTCCTTGCCTTTGCCCATAAAGCAGTGAAATAGGGAATACATTAGAAGTATCTATTGTATAAGCAATGCTATATTTCTATTCGAGCAGCTACTAATTAATAACTTTTTTTAACTACAGCACTTATCTTAACTCTAAGAAATCTTACTAAAATGATAATAGAAGATATTCTCCGATAAAGACCCTGATCGCAATACATTCGGTCTGAGAAAAATCCCAAGAATACTAATATACTTGTACTAATATAGATATAGATAACATATACGGAGTACTACACAGCAGTTAAAAAGCTTTATTTAAATACTGCCAAGATAGTCTAAGCTATTTAAAGCCTTAGCCAGGTGGTTTTGGAATCTTACGAGGTGTCTAACTTAACGCGTTCCCTTACTCATTAAGCCGTTGGTAAGGTGAGATGATAACTGATCTTGTATTAACATTTGCTGCGTGTGTAATAGTCACTATTGACACCAGCCGTCATTCTAATACCACCAGTATTCCTATTAGACTAGAAAGCTAACCAACCATACCGCCTACTGAAGAGGGCTTAACACCGTGGAGTGACCAGTGGTACCCCTGACTTATCGGGGCAGTGACTAGGTAAAGAATGACTACTTCCACTTGGCCTCTTCTGTTTTTAACCCTTTTCACCGTCTTATTCTGCTGCTGCGGCATCTGCCGCAGCTATTCTACTGTCGCCGAAGCCCCATGCCGTAGGCTGGGCCGGCGACTCACCTCGAACCCAACACTATAGATCACGTGGGGGCGGGCCAAAGAGGCCCTCGCTCATTCTTGTAACTGGAATAGTGACACTACGTCATACGTATGTAGTACACTAGTGCTAAACTCCTCACGTACCTAAGAGACAGAGGTAAGGCAGGTCTTTGGTAGTTTCTGCTTAGGCAGGCATGAAATTTCAGATTCGATCCCAGGCGAGTCCTTTGTACCTTGCATAGAAACTAAAACATCTCGAGGGAGGGGAGTTTATGCCTTTTGGAGATCACCACTATAGCTTAGTCCCGCCAGCGAATAAACAATTCAAGCCATACGTGTAGGCTGTAATCTTACCCATAGAAACCATGTTAACCTATTTGCAAAGGATGTTGTTGGCAATAGACCCCGATAGATCACCTATGCTGACAGGCCCTGGCTCAAACAATGATCCATACGTACAAGCGAATTTCTACCAGGTCCACTGCGGTAAATTTCTTGCTACATGAAGAGATTAAGGCTCTTATAATAGGGGTTTTCATGCGAGAAATTACCAGTCGGAAATGTCTATCAAGGAGTTAAGTGATTTGCAGCATTCTGTGACAGCTACAAGCTTTCACAGAAGCAATATGTAAGCATTGGATCGTAATCCTGTATGCAGGAGGACTTTGATTCGAAACATGAGGGAACTGAGATAAACGCCACAGAACAATTACCTTTATTCATGACTGGGCCCTGTTTCATCCGTAAATAGTAGTGGATCTCCCTGCTCCCCAAGATTGATGAAGTCTTTAGGTGCGCTGTTGTTGTCGCAGGCCTCTCCACCCTTGATAACCTTGGCAGGGTGATTGTGAATACGTTTCCCAGTATGGCTATTGTGGAAAACCCGCACGGTAGCACCGTTGCGCTCCTTGCACTCGTTGAAACTGACATCATTGATACGACTGAGGAGCGTTCTTTCGCGCGCGAGTTTACGCTTGGAAAAGTCCAATTTATCCAAGGCGCCGGTCAGCCCATCCGTACTGTCGGATAAACTAGGGTAAGTTTGTGTAAGCCATGGATGTTCTAAGCATTCGTCGACAGTTATGCGCTTGTCAGCATCGACCGTGAGCATCTTATCAATCAGATCCAAGGCCGGATCCCCGACAGAATCCCAATATGGTGATGGGTAGTCGAAACGACCCATTTTGATTTGTTGTGCAAGGGTGTAAGGGTTTTCCGGGGTGTAGAGTTCATCGGAAAATGGCGGAAAGCCGCAGAGGCATATGTAGAGAACTACCCCAAGTGACCAAATGTCAACTGCTTTAGTGTACTTCCGCCGACGAGACTCCTGCAGTATCTCGGGCGCGACATCTAGAGAGTGAGCTTGAATTTCGAAGTGAGAGATGAGGAACTGGCTATCTGGGTATCTTACAGCTTGGCGTCCCGCATCTGTAAGACAAGAACTGGCGATTAGCAAATATGCTTATCAAAATCACATATTGTATGTACGACATACAGAGTAGTTGTGAATGAATCTTCACCAATTATCTTGGCCAGTCCAAAATCTCCAAGCTTTACTGTCAATCTTTGATCTGCAACGAGAATATTCTCTGGTTTGATGTCTCGGTGAACGATACCACGATCATGCTAACACGGATGGATCATCAGCTAACCCAGGAATGATACAACAACAGTCCATCTGACACATACCAAGTACTTTAGACCTTCAAATATCTGGATGAAAATATGGCGAGTCTCCGTTTCCGAGAACCTTTGTTTGCTGACGATCAGGTTAAAAAGCTCTCCTTCCGAGGCAAGTTCGAGTACAAGATATACCCCATCACTCTCATCGAATGTATCTTTGAGACATAGAAGATTCGGATGACTGACTCCCATCAGAAGCCCAATCTCTTGTTGTAAGGCGTCAGCCTGTGATTTTTGAGAGTCACTTGAACGCTTCTCGAACAGTTTGACCGCATAATGTATTCCCGTAGCTCGTTCCACACAAAGGTATACGCTAGCGAAATGTCCTTTTCCAAGTTGTTGAAGAGTTCTATACTGTTGACGAAAGCGATTTGTATCCCTTGTCCGAGGATATCTGAAGACAAAGCGTGCTTGGTCGAGAATTGTGATCTCGTCACCATCTTCTAATTCTCGATGTTGGTTACGTCCAACAATTGCATCGTTGACAAAAGTCCCGTTGCTAGACAAATCCTCTAGGATAGCAATTGAATCACCTTTCTTGTTCTCAGGGAACAACAGAAAGTGACGATTGGACACAGTGGGAATGTTTAGGACAAGATCTGACTTCTTGTTAGTAATCTGTGCATTGGACATGGCATCATATCTTACTGACCACACTCACGATGGCGACCTATAAGATAGCCTCCTGGTGCCTGTAAACTCGCTCGCTTATTCTTTGACTCAGGCTCCTTGCGATGTCCCTTTTCTCCTTGCATGACTCCGTTAGATCCAAGCTCATGGCTCCCACATCCACTCCTTTTGCGCAAAACCAGAGAGGATGGAGCCTTATCATCGAGGGGAAGGAGATAACCCCAAACCCCTTCCGCAGCTTCGTCTTCAACTTCATCGGCAAGTGCTCTAGGTGGATAAACAAATTGAGAGAGGGCCTGTGTATCGTGAGGCGGGGATGGACTTGGCTGAGGAAACCCAGTACTCAAGGGCGTACTACACTGTTGGACGCGTTTTGTGTCATTCGCGGTTCCAGCTAGCTCTCTATCGTCGCTTCTAGTGCTCAACTCCTGCTGGACTATAGGCGTAGGTAGGTATAACTGATCAATTGGCTGTGGTGGTAATGCTTCAGACCGTCGCGCTTTCTTGAGGTGCTTCGAATCATGCTCCTTGTGTACCTACAATGAGATTTCAATCAATTAGCCTTGCGTGATAAGGTATTAGCTTGGACTCGGTAGATCGATGTACCCTTCCGCGCTTGAGAGAGCTTCTCTCATTTTGTGGTGTCATTGTTCCGCCTTTAACATCATATCAAATTCTCAACTTGCATGTAAAATCCTCAGATCTCATGGTCTGAACAAGACTGGTTCCTTCTAAAATTCTGTTCGAGACTAGCTGGAGATACGGCGGGATTGTGGTTGCTGCTTTTCCAGAACCCTCGACCTGCTACATTCACCTGTATAAGGGGCAGGAAAGCAAGAGCTCAAAATGGATTCCAGATAATGATAGAAAAATCAAGATCGAGAAAGAGAAACAAAGATAAGGAAGATAAGGTTAGGAGATGTGGAAAGGAGATGGCGGGCCGACTGGCTCAATTTCGGCGAGGAGCGAGAGAGTGATGGAATTCAAGGGACTCTGAAACACTCATAAATGGGGGAGATACTGCTGTGGACCTGCTGTTAGGCAATCAATGCAAATCAAGCTGCAACTACGGAGGTGTGTTCCAAAAGTTATTAAACTATACTAATTATCTTGGTAGTAATTAATATATCAGCTGATTATTGGCTACCATATAACTTAATATAATATATTATATTTTTATTATTAATAACGATTTTATATTGAATCACGCAGTTTTTGTTGTTTTAAATAAAATATAAAGCTGTTTAAACTGTAAAATAATACTAGAGAAAGAAATTTAGTAGAAAATCCAGGCTATTTACTATTAATATAGCTATTTAAATATACTATAATATTAGTTGTTATATTTCTTTTATTATATTAAGCTGGTATTAATATATTATTAATTACTAAAACTATAAATTTTTAATAAGATTTAATTTATTACTAAATCTGTATAGCTAAATAATCTAAATTTAATTTTTAATAAGATCTATAAATTTTTTTAATATATTAAAAATATATCTTATTCCGGATGTCTAAAAGTTATTATTAAAGCTATTAAAATCAGATTATTAATATTATCTGTAAGAACCGGGCTTCTTGTTTGAAAATATATAAAATAATAATATTCAAACTGGATGTTTTAACTATATTAATATATTATATATTTGTGAATAATCGCGTATGGCGAAAGATGAACATATGGAAGTTGTTTATTTAATAAAGGGCCTGGGAGACCGGGAGGCTAAATATATTACTTACAGCAAACTATAGATACTAATATTATAAACAGTAATATAAAAAAATAAAGATTTTAATATACTAAATATTAGAAATAGTAATTATAATTATTTCTACTAAAAAAATATATCGCCCTCGATACTATATATATATAAATAAAATATATAAAATTAGTATAAGTATATTAAAAGATATAAAATATAAATTATAAATATAGATAAATATATAGAAATTAATAAAAGCAAAAAATATACAGATATTTTTAATGAAACAAAAAACAGTCTTAATAAAATAAAAAATAAAATATAGATAATTAGTTAATATTATCTTTAAAAATATAAATAAAATCGAATAAATTAAGATTATATTTATATATTTACTAGTCATATTTTAAACTATATTTAAGCCAGTAAACTAAATACTTTATATATAAAATCTTATTTATAAAAATATATATAGTTAATCAAAAATATATTTGATTTTTTGATAATTTTTGATTTTATTAACTGTAGAAGGTTTAAATAGCTAATATTTGAATATATTACTATTATAAAAAATAAATTCTAGTTATAAAATAAAAATAATAAAATATATTTGAAATATATTAAATAGCTTGAGATAATATATATAATATTTAATATATTTAATAATATTAAAAAAAAACTAGAAAATTAATAATTTAGTTTATATAGAATAATTTTAGCTGCAGATATATTGTTGGCTCCAAGCCTTCAAGAAAGCAATAAATAAATAAATCATTATTAATTCTTCTAAGGTTTGCTAGCTTAACTGCCTATATAACATCACCAGCCCGAAGACAGTAAAAAAGAATATTACTCTGCCAGCCTGAGAGAATATTAAGAAGTTAAATATAATACTTTTCTCTACAGAAAAGTAAAAGCGTGTTATAGCAGACATATTACTAAAGCAAAAATAATAGTAAAAATAAGAAACACAGAAATCAACATTGCGAGGAACAGATTAAAAAATAATACAGAAATCAATATCGCGCGGGACGGATTACAATATAAAAAAAATAAGTCTATATATTAAATACAAATACTAAAACAAAGTACAATCAATAAGTTAAAGCAACAGCAGCAATATATTAAAATAATAGAAAAGTTAAAATTAATTTATAGTTTAATAAATATTTATTAATCTTTTACAAATCATCTCGTCAAAAAACTATTATATAAATAGTTTTAATATAAAGATAATATTTTTCTTATTTTTACTTAGAAACTATTTCTTTATATTATACAATAGATATTGGCAACAGAATAAGAATATTATATTAAATAATTTATTAATATTTAAGAAATAGATTTTAAATACTAATATATAAAAACTCTATATATAGTTGTCGATAAATTAAACTATATAATATCTATTTTTTAAAAAAATTTTAGACACAGAAATATTTTTTATATTCGGTAAAAAACTTAGATTAAAAATTTTTATAAAATTATTAACTATTACTTTAACTATAGGCTTTGTCTAAACCAGATACTAATTAACTATCTAATTATAAAGCTTCGGCTTATTAAGATTATTATTATTAAAAAATATTAATATAATAAAAGTTTTTTCTTTTTTATTAAATAAAAAATATATAAATTTTTTATTATTATTATTTAAGGTAGAATATTATTACTTTTTTATTCTAATTTTTACTTTTTTATCTATTTAAACTTTCTTTTTAAGAATATCGAAAAACTTTTTTATATTTTTAATATATTAAAAAAAAGACTTTATAGTAAAAATAATATAACTTTTTATTTTAATCTGGTTTTAAATCTTATTTAACTAATTATATAAATATATTTTATTAAATAGTTTTTTATAATTAATCTGCTATATATTATTTTTTTAATCTAATATATTATTTTTCAGCTTCTGGAGTTTATTATCCGATAAATTAAATATTATATAAAAAATATTAATTTTTTAATTAATAATATCTTATTACTAATAATTTATAACTTTATTAAAGTTTTTTATTACTTATTTAGCTTTATTAATTTATATTAAAAATAATTTAAAAATTTTCTTTTTAATCTTATATTTTAACTTAAACTTAAATAATATATTAAAAAAATTAAAATAAATCTTAGAAATATTCTTTTTATATTAATTAATAATCTGATAAATATTTAAATAGATTTATAACTAGTAAAAAATATAAATAATTAAATTATTAAAAATTATTTTATATTTATAAATATAACTAATATCTTATATCTATTTAATTTTAAATTTTAGTAGTTTAGGCTCAACGTAAATAAATAATATTAGAAGTAGTTAAAAATATTAAAAAAATAAATCTATTAATATTATATAATTAATAAATTAAATAATTAAAATATCTTTATTAATCTTATAGTTAAAATATTATAATATAATATCTGGAATTGGATTAGTATCTTAATAATATAAAACTTTCTTATTATTTTTTTTTAAATATTTTATTATTAAAAATATCGAAGATACTAGTTATAAAAATAATATTTTTAAAAACCAGTTTTTCTTTATACTTAAAAGATTTATTATATTAAGAAGAATTATAACTAGATTTAAAATCTAAACTATTTAATTATAAATAAAGATAAACAGAACCGAAATCTGATTTAAAATTAAATACTATTTTAAAACAGAATTTAAAAGATTTATTAAAAAAAAGAGAATTATTCAACTAGATTATTTTTATATTTAAAATAATATTAGTCTTTTTAATTTTTTAATATTCTTATTATTATTCCGGCTTTAAGCTAAGTTTCTTTTTATTAAAATAATAATATTTTATTATAAAAAAAATCGAAAAAATTTAATATTTTTTTTTATAGAGCTAGATAGTAAAATCCTATTTTACAAATATTATTTTAATATTCCGAATAAGTTTTCTTCTAATTTTTTTTTATTTTTTTTTTAAATTTTCTTCTCTGCTTAAAGAACTTAAGTATATCGGTAATTATAATCTTCTTTAAATTTATTAAGCTTAAAAGATAACATAAAAATTTAATAAAAAAAAACAGATTTTTCGATAAAAAAAAGATACATGTTGTTTAAGAGAATAAAAAAAGATTTTTAGTTAAAAAAATAGTTTATATGAAAGTTAATATAAAAAAAGAATTATATAAGAATAATAATTAAGTATAAAAAAATAGTTAAATATTATATATTATAATAAAGATAAAATAAATAATTATTATTATTTTAAACAACTATAATTATATTTTAAAATATAAATTATATATATTAGTCTTTCTAAGTTTAGACTACCAGTTGGTTAAGAATATTATTAGTTATATTTTTTAACTAATTTTTTTATTTTCTATAGATCTTATTTTTTATATTAGATATTATATTTATTTATATATTCGAGTTATTTTACTAGATATTTAAAATTACTATTTTAAAAATATTAATTAAATAGAATCTTAATTTTATATAAGTTTTCGGTAATTAAATTAGATTTAAATAGTCAGCAGTTAAAAAGATTTTTTTTTAAAATATTTTTTAACTTTCTAATATATAGTTCTAAATATATAATACTAATAACTAAATAAATTTATAAATTTAAAAATAGTTTAATAAAATATATTAATATTAATTTTTTATTTAAAACTTTAAAAAATCTTATAAATATATTATTAAATTTTTTTTTAATGCTGCTAAAGTCTTTTAATCTTAATAAAAATAGAACTTTATTAGATTATTTTTTTTAAATATTATATTCTTATATTAAATATTATATTAATATTTTATATTTATTTATATTATTTAAAATACTTCTATTATTATTATATATATAAAAAAATTTTATAATTAATTAATTAATTTTATTATTATATTAAGATTTAGAATTATCGGTAATTCTATACTATATATTAATATATATAATAAGAATTAAATAAAAATATTTTTATAGAAATTTAAAATTATTTATAATTATAAAAACAATTTAAACCAACTAGTTATATCTATTAAAAAAATAACTATATAATATAAAAAAATTTTAACTATTTAATTAATTTTTTTATTTTATTTATCTGCTTAAATATAGCTTACAGTAATAAATTATTACTTAATATTAAAGAATTTAAATAGTACTATTTATAAATTAGATAAAAACTTTAAATTCTAATTACTAATAAAAACTTTAAAAATCTTTTAATTACTGAAAGTAAGTTTTTTAAATAATAGATTTATTTATTATATTATATTCTAGTTATATTAATCTAGTATAATTATAATATATTTTATATATTTATAAATAATAGTTAAAATAATATTATATTTTTTTTATTTTTATTATTAAAAAATATAGTTATAATATTA